CACATCCAAATGCAGCGCTACTGCAACGGTGTAGAAAAAAAAACGCGTAATAAACTACTGATCGGATAAAAAAGCTTTCGTAACACAAACTTGTTTCGCTTCTTAAATTTGTACGAATTTGTTATTGTGAATATTTCAATTTTTTAACTGAAGACAATGTTACTTTTACGAGCCGAAGGAGTTGCTTTAATAGGTAATTAAGAAATGCGTTCAAATCGAATAATAGAAGAATTAATTTTGTAATGTTAATATTGAACAATGGTTGGTGTAAAGAGTAAATGCTGCTTATAAAGCAGCTATGTTGATTTGTCCTTGATATTCTAACCAACCCTTTGAATAGGTCACAGTCATGATAAAAGAGAATATAAATCGAGTACAAATGATTTCGCCATTTAGAATTCTAATTTCTATTCTTTATTAGTAGTCGCAAGTTAATCAAATATTGATCAACTCAAAAATACTCCGAGCGATAATAATATACGAGCCTTTTTCATGCGTTTCGAATTGCACGGAAAAATATTAATGGATTTTTTTATCGAAATATCTGTCAACTTGATAACTCCGGACATTGAAATTATTCGCCTTCATCGCGAGGCAATCTCTTAGCCCGAATAGTTCGTTATTAATTTCCGAGATAAATCCCATCTAAAAATATACGCACTCCCAATTGATAAGTGTTTATCGGTCGCTCATTTATCGCTTTGCCCGAATGGTGATCGAGCGACAAATTGGATTGGATAGGAAGAAAAATCGTGGAACCTTTTCTCGTCTCTTCGATTTATCTTGCGGTATCCGTTGGATGAAACGGCTCGGCGAAATCGAATCGAATGGAAATGAACGACGAAAAAGTGAGTTTTATTCAAAATATCGTACAAATAAAGCCGAATGACAAAAAAAATCGAGACACCTTGCCCGCTCGCCCAGTTGGCAATAGAAACAAGAACTAAATTATGTAATAAGACGTAGGTCGACGCTGGCAGTGGCGTAGTGTTGTAATCTAATTACCCTTTTTTGTTAATTAATAACATAACTGGTTTTGTAAATTAACTGTTTAAGTTGATAATTACTTCGATTGTTCAAGTAAATGGGCAATTATTTTTAACTCGACATACTAGGTGTTTCCGCAGTCCCTAATTTTAAACTTCTATTTTTACATTCGCTGTGTTTTGAAAATGTATTTACTTGAATTAAATAGGTGCTCGAATAATAATAAAGAAATAGTTGAAGAAGTCACGCGTTGCTGGTTAGTAAATTTTGATAGAGATAAATTTGCTAAACTTTTACTTTCATTTACAAATGCGAAATTGTAATATCGCTGCCAGAAATTGTTATGTTATGACTCTGGCATTTCTGTAAAGCATGAAATAGATTTGGATGGGTATGTAGTTTATTTGGCTACTAAAATAAAACGTTACTTTCTCATTTTTATCGCCAACAGCTGTAATGTAATTTTTAAATTTTATATTCATGTGTTTATTTTATTTGCAGGTAAGCCTGAATTGTATATTTGAAGAGAACTTAACATGGGTAAAGTATATTTCATTTATTTTTACACTATGAAGTATATTCAAATTAACGCTGGTAGGTACTGTATAATAGTTGTTAATTATTGTCCATAATTTATTTCTACTTGTTAAATCTTGAATGTAATTCGCTCCATAAATTTTAAATAAATCTAATTAACGTGACAGCAATAACAAGGAAATATATATATTTCTATTGAACTATTAATTCAAAATTAGCACTTATTTTAATTGCTTGAGAAATATAGTTGTAAATATGCAGTAAATTAAAAAATCCACAAATTCATCCGTTTATATCATGAGGGTTTTGTTTGTTACAAATTCGCTCTAAACTTTTTTAATTACAATCTTTTTTAATAACTCCGTTCGTTTTCTCGAAATCGTAAAAATTCTTATACTTTTTAATTACAACTAGCCCGTAATGCGGTTTTATTGGTCCGAGTAGCGCCCACATATAAAAAAAACCACAACAGAAAATATCGTGGGAAGAAAGCATCCCATAAACTGTTACATAAAAAACTGTAATTTTTGTTGATTAAAAATGAGATAACTTGATTACCTTTAGTGCCAAAAGAAGGTAGAAATTGCGATGAAAAGAACACGGAAGAGCATAAGTGTGTAGTTTGTTTCGAAAATATGCAAACTCAAAATTTCACAACTCGCTTAAAACATGTAGATAATTTTATTATAAAATTTTCACAAAAAGGTCTCAGTTCCGCAATTCATTAAGTTTATTAACAACGCATAAATTTCGCTAAACGACGATGACAACAGAACAAGCGCACAATTTCCAATTATCATTCTATTCGTTCGCCTTAATAATATTAACCAGCCGGTTGGGTTTTTGTAATAATTACTAAATCCACACACAGCACGCAGACATTGACAAACCAATTGGTCACCTACTTTCACTCTCCGTTTAATTCCGAACCTCAACCTATTTTATCGATACGAATCGAAACGCTCCGACTATATCACCATTGACTCGCTGTCGCTCGTAAAGGGGGCTCCGCCCCCTTTAAAAATTTTTTTTTTTTTTTTTCAAAAAAAAAAAAAAAATAACGCCGCCCATGGCGAAACACCCGCCGCTGGCCCGAACCGACGAAATCCATCGGCAACTTACCCGAACGATGGAAAAGCGACCACGATCCCCGCTCCTTCCGCGGCCGACCGGGAATTCCTTTCTACCGTACTCCGGTGCATCGACAAAGTTTTTTTGCTATAACTCCGAAACGGGTTAAGATATCGTTATCGGGTTTGTTTTGTTAGTTGCACGAAACTTGAATTAATAATTTTGAAAGAATACATTTTTTTCGAAAACCCGATAGTTTCCGAGTAAACGGAGTGTATTTAAAAAAAAATTTAATTTCGGCAAATTTTCATTTCCCTATAACTTGGTGACATATATTTTTGAAGAAACGCGATTTGCGTGGAAAAATGGCAAAAAAATCAAAGAATATACGGTGAAAGTTTGAAAAAAATCTGTAATGTAGTTTCGGAGATATAGGTCGAAAATGCCAAAAAAGTCGTAATTTTAACAAAAAATCCGGTTTTTCACCCGGAAGGAAACTTTTCCGGGTTTCGAAAAGTCGATATTTCGATAGATCTCGTCGAGTTACGTAGGATAGAATTTTTTTCCGATTTTTTCGCCCCCAAATAAAGCCGTAAAAAAAAAAACACGCCAATCAGTCAGTGAATGTCGGTTTCGGTTGTATAGTTATTGAGACTCGCTGTCGCTCGTAAAGGGGGCTCCGCCCCCTTTAAAAATTTTTTTTTTTTTTTCAAAAAAAAAAAAATCACGCCGCCCATGGCGAAACACCCGCCGCTGGCCCGAACGGACGAAATCCACCCGAGTAAGTACCCGAGCGATGGAAAAGCGACCACGATCCCCGCTCCTTCCGCGGCCGACCGGGAATTCCTTTCTACCGTACTCCGGTGCATCGACAAAGTTTTTTTGCTATAACTCCGAAACGGGTTAAGATATCGTTATCGGGTTTGTTTTGTTAGTTACACGAAACTTGAATTAATAATTTTGAAAGAATACATTTTTTTCGAAAACCCGATAGTTTCCGAGTAAACGGAGTGTATTTATAAAAAATTTTAATTTCGGCAAATTTTCATTTCCCTATAACTTGGTGAAATAGCATTTTGAAGAAATGGGATTTGCGTGGAAAAATGGCAAAAAAATCAAAGAATATACGGTGAAAGTTTGAAAAACATCGTTAGTGTAGTTTCGGAGATATAGGTCGAAAATGCCAAAAAAGTCGTAATTTTAACAAAAAATCCGGTTTTTCACCCGGAAGGAAACTTTTCCGGGTTTCGAAAAGTCGATATTTCGATAGATCTCGTCGAGTTACGTAGGATAGAATTTTTTTCCGATTTTTTCGCCCGCAAATAAAGCCGTAAAAAAAAAAACACGCCAATGAGTCAGTGAATGTCGGTTTCGGTTGTATAGTTGTAGAGACTCGCTGTCGCTCGTAAAGGGGGCTCCGCCCCCTTTAAAATTTTTTTTTTTTTTTTCAAAAAAAAAAAAAATACACGCCGCCCATGGCGAAACACCCGCCGCTGGCCCGAACGGACGAAATCCACCCGAGTAAGTACCCGAGCGACGGAAAAGCGACCACGATCCCCGCTCCTTCCGCGGCCGACCGGGAATTTTTTTCTACCGTACTCCGGTGCATCGACAAAGTTTTTTTGCTATAACTCCGAAACGGGTTAAGATATCGTTATCGGGTTTGTTTTGTTAGTTGCACGAAACTTGAATTAATAATTTTGAAAGAATACATTTTTTTCGAAAAACCGATAGTTTCCGAGTAAACGGAGTGTATTTATAAAAAATTTTAATTTCGGCAAATTTTCATTTCCCTATAACTTGGTGAAATAGCATTTTGAAGAAACGCGATTTGCGTGGAAAAATGGCAAAAAAATCAAAGAATATACGGTGAAAGTTTGAAAAACATCGTTAGTGTAGTTTCGGAGATATAGGTCGAAAATGCCAAAAAAGTCGTAATTTTAACAAAAAATCCGGTTTTTCACCCGGAAGGAAACTTTTCCGGGTTTCGAAAAGTCGATATTTCGATAGATCTCGTCGAGTTACGTAGGATAGAATTTTTTTCCGATTTTTTCGCCCCCAAATAAAGCCGTAAAAAAAAAAACACGCCAATGAGTCAGTGAATGTCGGTTTCGGTTGTATAGTTGTAGAGATTTACGTTCGTTTGGTTCATTATTACGTCCTATTACAATGATATTTCTCGTGATTGTTTGAGAAGTTGGCAATAATGTTGCGGTGTGCTCAAAAATTTGAGTTATCAATGTACCCAACGTGTAATATAGGTTATTTAGGCCCGAGGTTGGTAACAGCAGGTGTGCCACAGGACTCCGCTGTAGACCCGCTGTTGTATTTATTACACACCTATGATTATACCCACACAGCTGACAGAAAAAAAACCCGCTTTTGTCGGTGACACAAACGTGAGAATGAACAAGAAATGCGAGTCCGAAGAGGTAAATGGATAATCGAATTGGGAAACGGATTGCCTAGGTAAAACTACAGTTTTATCGGCGGAATCGCCGAAACTATCGTGAAACGGTATTAAAAACCAGCATCGCGACATTCGCGGGCTCCCTCCACACGGTCGCAGGCGCAACATGGAAAATATCAGTCAATTGTCGGCTATCGTTACGTCGACGTTCGCGGTCGTCGGGCCGAAAATTCGTCGAAAATAAAGTTATTTTTTAATTTGTTTTTAACCAGCTCGTCCGTATTTACGCCCCGGTTAGGTGGTATAAAAATCTCGAGATGGTGCGGTGATTATCCGGCGTTAATAGTGCAATGCTTGAGTGAATCGATTCGCTTTGCTTCAAATGTCGAATTTATTTCGGGTGAAAGATAGACGTAGAGTTTGTTCGGATTTTTCCCGACGTATTTATCTGGTAAACAAGGCGACGCAAACAAGCGCCGATTGAATGGAGGTTTCGAATCATGCGCTTTCGATTTTTCGCGAGGAAAATGTGCGGCGATGAATTGAAAATTGATACGGCTGGGTGATTGTTTGTGCAACAAATCACGAGTGAATCGCTATTTGGTTAATAATTGCATAAATTGGATCAAAATAATGTCGAATTAGTGTCGAATTGTTTACTAATTTCTGCTTCTACTCTGTATGCGCGGGTATTTTTATAAACTGTATCTCCGCCACTATTGTCGATAAAATGTCGTAAACAATCGTCATGAGGATTCTGTTGGCCTTCGGGTAGGTCAGTACAACGCGATATTTTTTTCAAACTCATGACAGTAGAACACGCTCTCGTCGGGCTGTGTTTCGAGAAGAAAACGGTTTTTATTAATTTTAGAATACCGACTAGAACGCGCATTAAGCCAATTAATATTAGTCCATTCGGTTCAGCCTTTAAAAATGCTCTTAAATTTTATTTATCGGTGCGCACTGTGTTGTAAATAACGCGCGTTGTCATTTTTTTAGCGACATCAAAAGGTTTTCCTTTGCTATTTAAAATGTGTTTTCTGTTTTTTATGTGCTTTCGATGACACATTTCGTGGGCATTAAATTTAAACGTTACCTCCGCCTGATTAAAAATAATAGATTCGCGTAGAACAAGCCGTATTAATTAATTAGTTTCCAATTTTTGCTTGAATATGAGCACGAAAATGACTCACCGGAACATTTGACTAAACAGCATGAAATTATTAATTGAAGTAATTTTTCATTGCCTACATTTGCCGATTGTTCGAAGACTTATTATTTCCGAGAGGGAATGGTTTCCTTTTGCAAAATTGTTTTGGCGAAGGCGAAGCTAAATTGCTTTGTTATTTCTTCAAAAGGGTTTTTTCATATTTTTTTTTTAGTTTCTACATCGTTATAGCCGTATAATTTTAGTTTCTGCTAAATTTACACAGTTAATTGTGGTTAATTTTAATTAGCAGCAAAAAGAGCAGCAGACAGATAAGAATAATTGAAGTGGTGTTAGGATTCGTGCAAGCGTTGCATTATTTTTTTATAATTTTCAACTGCACATCTTCGTTGCTTAGAATAATACGTGCATTAGTTTGTCGTTTTATTGTTCAGCCTTAACGGTGCAGTAGTTAACGAAATTTTCTCGTGTGGAGTTACCAGTTTTTAGGGCACTCGACAAAATGAAAACTTTAAAGTGTTAAAAGCTAAAAAACAGTGCAGCAATTTCGCCGTATACACAATTGTCTAAATTCCCGCATTCAAGCTGTTTCGTACGGACAATAGAGGATCGTTTGGCGAAGAAGTGGAGTTGTTCGGCGAGGATTTTTCGACGGCGGCGGCCGCCGAGGCGGTGTCCGACCGCCGCCTCTTGCTGGGCTCCCTCGATAGGGCCGATTACTTGCAATCGCCGACCGCCGCTGCCGCTCCCACTCATGTCGCACAAATGTCGATCGGACCGCTGGAAGACGCAGGGTGAGTCTAATGTGTTATACTAAAAGCCTGTCGCGATCGAATTGAATTTATCAATCAAAGTCGAATGCAGATCTGCCGTGATGGATACCGATGCTACATATTGTGTTTCTTAAAGTTCTGCTGGGTTAATATGGATTAATATGGATTAATTTTTAAATTAAATTGTATGTATAGAGAACTCTTTTTGTCACTTGGTAAGTGTTCGCGAAATTGACCTAGACACTAATGCTATCATTGCGATGTTATTAGAACGCGTGGAAAACAAAACGTTTATTGCGATGTTACGACGTATACTATTATACATATTATGAGGTGGAATAATCATTATAAGAAAGTCAATTTTAATGTTTTGTTAAATGCGTTTAAATCGTTACGAAATAATACTATTTACCGAAATTTTCGTTTATTAACCTCGTTAACTCCTCGCCAAATATACCTACTGCTGTAGGTTAATTATCACTTCATAACTTGTCTCATTCCCGCTTTTACTTTTACGTTGCTTTCTCGAAAATCAGTTATTTATATTAAACAATTGACAATTTCAACTTTTACTAAAAACAATCTCCACTTTGTGATAACCAATAAAAAATTTATTATCTAATATCGTTCAACAACACTTGAAGCTTAGTGTGCCATAATCGATGAAAAAAAAATCGCTATAAATCCACACTATACGGCTCAAGTTTCCAATATCCGTACAATTTTTATTATAGGTATCCACGTGGAATTGAAACAGTACGCGAACTACTCGTGAACTGGCCAACGACAACATAGGCAGTAGCACTAGCTGGAAAACAGTGTAACAAGCGAAGTTAAGCTATAAATTCTCGGTCGCTAATGTATGCATCTCGAACGTGCATACTTCATTAACACGTTGCTTGCTACAAACAAACGCGTTATTATTAAATTTTAATGTAATAGGACTTTGAGTAATGCGATGGACCCGAAACGAATGGGAGGGACCCGGTCTCTCTTCACCGGTGATAAAATAATTTAATACCGCTGCTCGATTCGAATTGATTAAAAAAATTCGATCTAATGAACGAAGTAGGTACATTTCGATTTGATGTATTAATCTAATTCTGTCGGTTTTAATTGGATTATCCCATCTGAGAAGAATGGAAGTAGTTTATAAGTATCGGATTAATTGAAGTTCGAGAGAAACGGAAGCCTATTAACAGTAGATTTCGAATGAAAGGTTCATTTACTCGAAGCGGCTTGATTAAAATCGAATCAATTAGAACATTGCGTGTGAACCTTGTCACATCGCTTTAAAAATGTTTATCCTAGAATTTCCTGCTAATCCTGCAAGTCCCATAGAGCAGATTTTTTAATCTTTACGATAAGAGATTATTACAAAAGGTGGTGTAATTGTTGATCTTCCCGTTGTGTACAGTATCTCGTTTATCTAGTAACAACGTAGTGGAAACAAGTCCGAACATGTGATACATGTTACATCCCGTTTGAAATGTAACCAGAAACTTTCGAAAGAAGAAATAAGCAAGCGTTGAAGTTTATCACTGAACAAAAACAACGACCGAAAAGTATAACAAATGAAAGAATGGAAGAAAATCCATGAAATCCGTTGTCAAGGGACAATGTGAGCGTTCTTTTTGTAACAATAAGGGGGACAATTCAACAGTTTTTTTTTGCGTCGTTCAAATATTACATGCCTAATTCAAAAATTTGATATCTTTATTATGTTCCGGTCAGAGTTCAAAATAATATTTGGCGAATAGTCGCGGTCCCGTCGATCGCGAAACGCTCCTATCTCACCGATTAGAATAAATTGCTATAATATTTGCGACATGACCCGCGCAACATGTTTATTTATAGATTTTTATGAGATTTTTAGCGAATAATACGCCATTATCCGTCTCCTTCTATGCCGTTCTATAAGCGTATATGTACGGCAAGTGCGTTAAACGATGTTCTATTACTATTACGTCACGATATTAAGAACACAATTTCGGACAATGAGATTAATGAGCACTCACGAGGCTAATTTGGGGCACCTATAAAAATCGGACGGAATTAAAATCGGCGTTAAAAAAGAAGCAACTGATTAAAATATTCGTAATGCTAAAAATCGATTTATAAACTCCGTTTGTGTGCGAGCGATAATTGTACTTAGACTTTTTTTGTAGAGAAACCTACTGTACATTTTCTCCTTTCAAATTTTTTGTCCGTCGATTAACAAATATTTATTTACGATTTAACAATACCTTATCAGATGTATTCGTTTAATAGAAGAATCCAACGGTGCGTGTTCCTATATTTAAATTAATTGTTGCCTCATAACCTAAAGGCCATTAATTACAAGAGAAATATTTGTTGGACCTTGTTAATACGTTGATATTGTGATTTCAGAAGCCATTAGCGTAGTTAACTTTTTTAACGCGGAAAATCTAAGAGAGTACGAAATGCACGCATACTACATAGTTTTGTTGCAAAAAATGATTTATTCGTAAAATCTGTCAATTGAAATTCATGTATTTATTAATTTATTAACTTGTTTTAGAAATGAAATATATATGCGTAACTAAAACCACTCCTTGGTAAAGCATTCCTTATGTATCGAATTGTAAGCACCCATAGTAGTATAATGATTGTAATTATTTTTCACTTATTGGTCTTTGATGATCGCATAAATTATACACGCATAATCATACCTAAGAGAGTCATTTTCATCTAGTCGCTGCATCTAGTAAATAAATATTAATTTATAGTCATTTTGCACTCTTTCCTCTTCTGGTGTGTATAATTTACTCGTATACTTAATAGCCCTCCTAGCCTTTGTTCTTAAAATTGTGATAAATATATTTCTATAAAGATTTTATATGCAATACCATTTCCTAGATATGATCGTTTGTGGGGGATTTTAGAACCTTACTGCGACATTTCTCAGAGCTTGTCCTATTTGTGTAGTGTATTGTAGTAATGCCATTTTCCGTTCGGACAAATCCGAAAAGATATCGGTATTAGGTATTTGCGTGCGCGATGAAAAGGAATGATTCTAATAAAACATTCCTGTAGATGTCTAAACAGATAAGGGAAAAAGTCGATCTATACCTATAGCAAGTAAACGTTGTAGAAAATAAGTTGATGTAAATTTAATGGTCCATGTTGAGTATCTATAATAACGCCAGGTCGTTCTTCGATTCTTTTCAATCGAAAAAGATAAACAGGAATTTAAATCGTTTTCGTTTGTAAACATATTTTTCCAACGCAGCTTCATTATAATTCATTAATATGGCAACGGCACCGATTCCTCGTATGTTAATTAGTAATTTTGCACAAAGAAATCCTTATTTATTGTGCATAATATAAAAAATGTTGGCTTCTTTTCACTTTTGGTGTGGAATTAATTATTAAGCAGTTATTTCGGCATCTGCCAACCTTGGGAAAATTCTTTTGGAGAAGTACGAATTATATTGCTCATTAGATACGGTAGGTTTAGTTTTTAAACGATTTTTCGTGGCAAAATTCCTAAATGCGGCAGCAGTTTGAATTTTTTTGTTTGCGAATTTTTGTTTGCTAATTGCTAATAATATTGATTTTTAATAAATATTCAAAACAAGTTAATTTTGAATTTTATAATTATGTAATACCAAATTGGCGCCTCGGTGAAAGCTAAAACGACCACTATTCGATACATAAAATTCAGCTTTAAACATTTTTTATTGTCGAATACTTCTGCAACCTATAATGGATATTATATTACAAAAGTATGTTAATGGACAGCAAAAGTAAAGGCGTGTAGTATTTATAATCCTTCACCATATATTTAAATGTTTACCTAGAAAATAAAGATTTTTTTAAATCGTAAATCATACTTTCTACTTCTCCATTGTGGTTTTTTGTTCATTTTTCAATTACCTATTACTCATGTTTTTTGACTGTTTTAATTAAATTTTAGGTAAATGAAGTAGTTTTGATGTAGCTGTAAATAAAATACTGTTTTTTATGAATTTTTTACCACAAAAATGCTCCTTTCATCTATTGATGCTGAATTTTTTTATACGAGTTCCCTCACAGGCGATGAATAAAATGTTTTTCATTATGGCCTTTTCGCCCGAACAGGTGCTAGTTTGTCTCAAACCCTCATTAATTGCCTGCCAAGGAAAGTCGTTCAAGAATGGACGAGGACACTGTAACAAACGACCTTGGATTGAAAATCAGTTACAGAAAGGACCTAATTGTCAATTGGCCTTTGCTAAAAGATTGCACTTCTATCACCTAATAAGGATGCTCCTTTATTCTCACTACAGCTTAATTAGAACTGGTGGTCATCATCAATGAAGTACGAATGACAATAAAATTAAAAATTCAGGTGCTTTATACACAGGACTACATTATTTGATTTCTAATTTATTAATTAATCAATTTACTCATCGTTATCGTTATCAAATATTTATTACATCAACATTGATGATTACAAGCTGAAGGGAAAAGAAATACACACATACAACAAGCAAACAATAACAACAGCTTGGAGTAGGGTTTTGTGCGAACATAGAGTTGGGACAATGTTATTATTTAAGTTATTTCACTCAAATTTTATCAGCAGAACCTTCGGACATTTCAAACATTGTTGGTTCATCTTAGAAGGTAAAACTTTGATAAGATAAATATTTTTTATAAAATAGATAACGTAAATGAAAGTGGATATTGTAATTAAATGAAGTCAAAATACAGTTTTATTCTACAATTGTACAATTTTTTTGTAGTTTCTTGGCCTAATAGGTGTAATATACGACTCATATTTCATAATTATCTATCGAATAAAGGCATTAATTTATCTCGTAACGAAAAAAAAAAAACATTCCTAAACGAACGAGCTAAGCAAATACCGAAGGATTAATGCGATATAAGGCTTTGCGAAGAACGATTTTATGTGTGCTGTACATACAACATAAATACTAAACTTAACAGGCTATTATTAGAAAATCTATCCTTTCTAATCCTCGTCGTTACATATGTTACCGTATTTACAATCGACTGCCACCTCTATGCGATGCGAACGACGTATCACACTGCCTTGGCCTTGGAGGCGGTGAGTGCACCCAATTCGCGATCGACTGTGTTCCCCCACTGAGCCCCCAGATGTCCCAGTGCCCCCCAAACGCTACTCGGACTCGGTCTCTATCCGTCATTGAGCAATGTTGTCTAGCATCGCGATTTTTTCAGCGGAAAGATAAACGCCGCGATGCAGTAGGCGTTTCAGCTCTTTTCCATGCACAATACATTTTATTCGAGCGAAAATTTCGATTCGATTTCGATGGCGATTTTTAAATAAAGCAAAAGTGCGTAATTTGTCATCGACGCCCATACGTTGTTGGCAGAGTGGGCCGAGTGGGCAGAGCGATCTCGGCGAAAGAAACGAAAACACATGACCGACCATATCGTCATGGTCGTTCCGCAGAGCCAACATTGACTGATTTGTATACTTTGCAAATTGATTTTCCTTATCTGTTAATACTCCGCGATGGCATATTGATGATCCGGCGAGTTGTTTATGAACGGTTTTCTTTTTATGCGTTCCTCTTCTTCGATCGATTGTTGCGCGTAAGCTGTGCCGGTACCATTTTTTCCGCGACTTTATTGCCGCGTCGAAACGAAGAAGTGCGAAGATAAATGATAGAAATGGTAATTTATCGGCTCTTTACCGACGGCTATATTTATCGATTTCATCTTACAATGCAAATTACCGGTGTACGATTTTTTTTTTCCACTTGCGTAAATTGTCACTTGTCGTCGCAACGCCCGGCTTTTCCGGCCGCCGTTTCGGAAACTTCCATCGGCTTTCTGGATGCTAATTAATTAGCAGCCTGCGAAATAAACGAGAAAAGTCCGCGGGACGTCATCGACACGAAAGGAGAAAGTCAACGGCAGGTATTTCAATTTAGCAAAAGGGGTTTTCGATTATAATATCGAAATGGAAAATTTTACCCCGAAACGCCGTTGGTATAATAACGTGCGTTATTAAACCGTTAGAGATGAACAAACGGCAGGGAAAGGAATGGTTGAGATGTTACGAAGGATGAAATTAATATCATCTTAATTTTTCACGTTTTTCAATGATTCCTACAAGTTAGGAGTTAATGAAACTGTTCAAAATAATTAAATAAATCGACAACACTTATAAAGTTCAAATAGGAAATTCAATTCAATCAGTTCACTACTGCACCATTATTGATTGAATATAGGAAATATTTATTTCGATAGGGTAGAAACTTTGCAGTTCCATAAATTTCGGTGATTTGAGACAGTTGACAAAAAAGGAAACAAATACAACCCACTAGTATCTCCTGTTACATGCATTTCGCGAATAAAATGGATGCTGTGATAGTATCAAACCGAGGCGCCGCGATGCCGGTTCAGTTTTCCTTGGCGGCGACGATTATGGCTCTTCTTTGTCCAATTTACCAGCGACGCCTCACGAACAGGATACTTTTATTAAAAATTTGAAATCATATCTTGCGTTATTAAAAACTACACCTTTAATTTCAAATTAACCCTATTAGTAGAAATTACATAGCTAATCTACACGTACGTTATTAGTGCTACTGATTTCGTGATGTATTCTCCATATTTCCAGCGTGGAAACGGCCTTATAAATGCTGGTATATAGACGAGCGGAAATTGCGTTGGAATAAAAACCGTTGAGACGTCTCTGTGTTTTGTGGCGACGTCACCGATGCTTCTCGTCTTGCCCGTTGCAATTTCGAGAGGAATTCGAGTTTGAAAAATCTCCTTTGCGAGAGCTGGAGCTGAGCCGTTGGTGCATCGTCGCATGACGCCAAATAATGGTCCGGTTGTCTGGATGCCGGGGCGGGCGAAGGGGGCGCGAAAATACGCGCTGCGTATTATGTTTCTTCATATTGAAAAATGCCTAAGTAATGAAAAAGTCCGTTTTATGGCGGAAATTCCCGCTTTTTAGTCTACTCGACAATTACCGAGCCGAATGCCGAGGAATGTTTTTCGCATGAAATCAACGTTTATAGAATATTTTACTATACTTTTTATTCCTATCAAATAACGAAAAAAGTATTGTCTTGTATGGAAAAATCACCCTGTAAGTTGACCCAGTCGAAATTACTCGTCTGGCTCGTGACAGGTGAGGGAGAAGATATCGCGCAGGGGCAATTATTAACCTCCCGAAGAACAAGTTGATTTATGTAGCGTCGATCCGAAATGAAGATGGATCATTCTGGATCGCTGTTTAGGCACAGTTGGGAGATGAGGATTCGTGGTTAACGTCAATACATCGTTTATCCAGGGCTCGAGATGAGAACTTATTATTTCGGAGAGGAAAATCAATTAGGTACCTTCTATAAGCTGTAATATCTAAATATCGAGGCGAACGGTATTTTCGATAGCTGAATTATTCGTTATGGATTAGTTGCCTCTGGTATCGAATTTATGAAATTTACTACGTAATATATTAATGAGTGCTAGTTTCGAGTTGTTCAATTTATTATTCCATTGAAAAGTTTTATTTTAACGGCTAAAAGTTTATTGGAAAAATATTGTGTTGTTAGCCATAAATACTATATCCTGAATGATTAAACGATATTATTTTGAGAAAAACAATTTTCTCCTCTCGCTATCCACTTAATGTTCAATTTAACTTCATTATACGATTTTATCAACGCAAGTGCGACACTATCGTCGAAGAAAATTAAATGAATAAAATATGGAAGTAATATCTCCGTTAATAAATTAAAATAAAAGTGAGGCAAAAACAGCACATGCCATACCCGTAACCTCGTTTCGAGATAACGACACTCTACGCCCGAAATGGGAAATTTCTTAGCGAAAAAAGACGTTCCGCCAATGTTAGAAAATTAGAGAGGTTTTTCGGTTTCCAGAATTTCGATTAAATCGATACAAGCGGGTTGGTTCGCACGCGTGCCAGAGTCATGTTGTTAGCTGTCGCAGCATTTCTGTCGGAAAATGAAGGAAATTAGCACCTATATTGGGCGATACAGTTTTCTATTCGCACTCCGGG